CCCCGGCTTTTCATTTCTCAACATCTTGTCTTAGGGTTACCTAACATTTGTTGGAGTTTTGAAGGCTACTTTCACGTTCAACTTATCAAAATCCATTAGTGTATACGAAATTGCTTTCAGTTCTACTAGTACAGTCATTTGGTTAAAAAAAGAGGTTATCTGGAAAGTTCTCTGGGAATTTTGGAAATGGATGATATTATAGATTTTGTTTGAGGTGCTCTTTTTGAATTTCCACTTTGCCTATTATTTCTGTTCGTGTTGTTTCAGTTTCTTTATTACCCTCCGGTCGTTATCCTGATGAAGAAAATAAATTTACCGAAAACTTGACACATAACACAGAGTCTTCTTTGTTATGTGTCAAGCCCTGTGTGTGTTCGTAAAGGTTTCAGCGGACAGTAGTATGTTGTCGTTGAGTGCGGGTTGAACCGCATCTGGAGTTTTGTGTTCGACGTTTCAGCTCCGATTTTCAAGCCATTTTCAAGAAACTGATGTGACGCCGGGGCCTCAATCTGCCTACTCCCTAGGTCTCGTCGCGAGTTCTCTCTAATATAGGCGTGTTCGCAAAGTCTATATTGTGTCGTGTCTCTTAATGATGTTTGGACAGGGCTAAGGATGGGACTGACTTTCGGACAGCAAGTTGATGTTCGTATACTCTACTAGTCACACGTCTATTGGTCTGGCCTACATATATTCTATGGCATGGTATTTTATGTATACACTAGGATTCATTGTCAATTTTGTCCTTGGGGAAACGGAGGAATGTGGAAATTGGATTGATGGCGGTGAATATCGTTTTTAAGTACAGTTTGTCAATAACGCCTTCAATGTAGGGAAGGAAAGCTTTGTGGAGAACGTTGTTGTCTTTTGGATCTCTGGGACTGGATGGAGAGGTTTGTTGACGACGGATGAATTTGTCGATGTAATGGTCTGTGAATCAATTTTGAAGAAGAGCTGATTTGAGTTGAGCCAGCTCAGTGAGGTTAATATATCCGATGATGAGAGAATTCAAAAGGGAGTTGGTTTGTGCTGGGTGAAGATGGGCGTTTGCATTGAGATATCTTTTTGTGTATGTTGGGTGGAGGAGTTATTGAATTTTGTGATGAGGACATCAAGGAATGGCAGGAAGTTATTGGTTTCAATTTCCATTGTTAATTTCATATTTGGATGGAGGCCATTGAGGTGATCAAGCAAATTATGGAGTGTTCCGGAGCCGTAGGGCCATATGACGAAAGAGTCATCAGCAACGCAGAGCTTTCTCGCTTCTGCTTTGCTGATTTCCTCAGAGAGAGTTTGTTTCATATCTTGATGCAAATTATGCAGCTCCTGCTTGTCAAGAATTTGGTGCAAGGCAGATCTGTTAGTCACACTGCTCTTGAGTAGTCAGTGCAACCTATCCTCCTAGGTTTGTTAACAGGATCAAAGGGATGAAGAACTGAGATCTGACTTATGATCTCTATACATGCATAGTCTGATTATTTGGGTACTTCATGCTCTATGAAAATTCCACGGGAAGCTAGAGAAAAAAAGTTTATTATGACAGTGTCCCTTATTACCGTGCAAGCCTCTACGACAATACAGCACCCGGAGTTTCATATCCTTTAATCACGAATACATTTCTCATTGAATGATGTGTTATTCAAGACTACTACTTCGTTGAGTATTATAGCGTCCCCCGCTGCTGCGAATTCATAGCAGCAGCGTTTTTTTAAGTCTTTGGTACCAGAATGACCATCAAAGTCGTTTCAATGATTTTTGATTTATCCTCAAGTTACTGCTTCTCAATCCATTTCAATAACCGGTATCTTCGTAGGTAACCGCTATTTTGAAGATTATTTGTAGTAATGTTTACCAAAAAAATTTGAAAACGATAAAGTTATACTTGGACGCCAAAAAAATCTGTAGTGAAAAAATAAACGCGTTTGGTTCACCAATAGAATAAAAAACTTCTGGAATTGTTTATATGACTTACAGATTGAAAAATCAAGCATAAAAAATGATATTTCAAAACCATACAAGTCAAATGTGACTCGGAATAGAAAGAAAAGTGTTATAAGCTAAATAATACCAAGGAATATTTTGGTATTCCAACATTTCAATGTTGATTTTTTTAACCTTTCAGATTTCTAATTTCTGCTCATTTAGAGTTTATGTTGTCATCAACTATACAATTTACTCTTTCACTAATAGACATTTTAATATTGAATTATTATCAATGTTTAGATTACAGCAGAAGGTTAAGAACCCCAAAACTGACAAAAAGTAATGAGTTATTCAGAAAAAAACACTTGCAGGACATCTTTCTCGAAAACTGTGTATTCAACCAATTTTGTCGAATTTGTGAAGAGAATATTTATACAGAAAATTCTTTGAACCGTACGAATTACTGCATGTAACTGATCTATTTATACTACAAACCTCAATAATAGAGATAACCATTGTAATTCCTCGTCATAATAGATCGAGTAAGACCTTTCTTTGTCTGAAACGGGGAATCGTACCTTTGGGAATAAACATTATGATTTAGACACACTATGTGGAAGTTTGATTGCCTCAAACATCCCAGATAAGTCCTCATGTATGAATCCAGTTGTTATTATGACATATTGGTTGTAGGTTTACCGTATCAGAACGAATTAGGGCTGATCATAATTCATGACGTATCGTTAATTGCCGAAGGGGTATTACAGATAAATTCGTTAGAAATTAGAAGGCACGGTATCTCGAGAAGCCGTATAGATACTGAGAGGACAGTGGAAGTTGTTGGTTGCTATAGGAGAGTACTAGAGGTCACAAAAGGTCAACTACTCTAGGTGGATCATCTAAATATCTATCTGTGCATACAGTTCGAACGTAAAAATTTCCAAAGTCTAATTAAGTTTACATAAAAAGGCATACTTTTTGATTGAATATCGGTGAATCAACGTCAATTCAAAGTTTTGAGTTGTGTATGTAGTCACCTTCAATTCAAGCTTTGACGAGTAACCATGGTTCAGCAAAAACTTCGGCTGTAAACCACAATAGTAATAAAGTATCCGTTTCCCTTTGGGCATGACACCTGGTTACCCAGGAAGTGGTTGTTCAGCACTCCGTAACGGTAGGGTGCGCAGGCTGATCCTTATCCAGATAGAAGAAATGTATTACATCATCTATTCAATAATTTGATTTAACGTTAGGTTATTGAAAAGATAATTTGTAATTTCATCTTGAAAAATGGAGGCTTCAGGAGGATCGTCCACAACTTCTTCATCATATACTTTCTCATCCGTTTGTGGGTATGGGTTGTATACTTTGCCAGATTGCTTTCCTGCACTCGAATCCACAGGTGCTGCAGCCTTTCTTGCAAGCCAGTACGTTGAGGAGCTTCTCTGGTACAGGCAGCTGAGATGTAGTGTCAGTTAGGAGGGTATTGAGAGCCTTCTCCAACAAAATCCCTCAAATTACTTCTGGCTTGTCCACAGTTATATCTGCAGATTCAAGCGCAGCAGATGATAGCGCGTACTTGTAGATTTGGAGGAAGTTAGACAAGAATTGGAGCGCTCTTTTAAGCACTAGTTCGATATAGCTTATATCATAACTCCTGTAGAGGTATGTTCCTACTTCTATCATACATAACTGCTCCTCAGTAGTATATTTATCTGTGAATATCTTTAGAGAGGTGTTGAAGATAGGATTCTCCTTCAACTTTTTCACTGTTTTCATCGCAGCGGCTTGCTGCTTGTAAAAACAAGTTGCTGTCCATAGTTGTCTAGGGTTTTGGATTTTTTCATCTTCAAGCTTCCAGGAGGTGATGATGAATGGTGCTAACAAACCCACCAATAATTCGAGGAGGTCGATGTCTTCAACAATAACGTACTCGACTGCATTCAATTATAGTGTGGTGGTGACACTGACTGAGCCTGTCAGCATCCTCGGCAGCTTGATTCGTTACATACATGGCTCACCAGCATGTCAATGAAGCGGGTGTTGTTTTTGTCATTTACCAGAAAGAATGTCTAGGCAACTTGATATTTCATGTGAACAGCACTTCAACTTATGACGACGTTGTACCTGATGGTATGTAACCACTCGGATGATGATCACAATTTTCAACTTTTCATGAACGAACGAACAACAACTCGAACAACAATCAAATATACCTATCAAAACACGCACTTTGGTCGCACTGATACCTGGGCCGCATGTCAGAATAAGCCTTGAACAAACAACGTGTTACCCTAGGACTAGTACTAGAGAGCCACCAAGATTTAGCCAAAGCCTCGGTAGATAATAACATCATCCTGAAGTGGGTTAAAGGCCACTACAGGAGTTGATGTAATCGACTATTGCGAAACCCATGCTCCATCCCTAAAGAGATGGGATGAAATCAAAGAATCACCCTAGGCGACCCTGGGAAGTTGGCGCCGAAGAAATATCTGGCGATGACCAAGAAAAACCTACGCTCAACAGTGGGATTTCTGACTAGCCACTGTCAACTAAGGAAACACCTTCATTTTATGGGGCTAGTGGACACACCTCTATGCAGGATGTGTGAACAGGAAGATGAAACTGTCAAACATGTATTATGCGAGTGCCCAGAGTTATCGTCAATAATAGAGTGTGTTCGACGAGTCTGGGCCTACACCTGACCATACAAAGGAGATGTCCCCTAGTGACCTGTCCACCTTCCTGTCGTAGCAGAACGGCAAACTTATTCACTTCAGTTCGATTTTTAATTTTATAAAAATAGTCAATTTGATGGAGTATATCATCTTCATTCACGAGAAAGAACTGCCAAAATTTCGCTATAATTCGCTAATGTCCCAAAAAACAACTGAAAATTTTATTTCAATAATTCAGATTCAGATTCAGCATCCAAAAAAACATGAGGTTCGAACATTAACCCAAGTTTCCAAATATTTTCCCCCCAAGACCAATTTTAGGTACCATTTTATTAGATTATACGGAAAACTAGTCACAATAATATCGTTCATTGAGTACTGAATGATTTTCTTTCTTTTCAGATCCAGATTTAGAAGTTATGCTTCGTCCACCTACAGGCAAACGGGCTTTGGCGATGTTCGCACGATGGGGTTCAATCAACGGCATTGGGAAAAATAGGCCACCGATCAGAAGTAACCTCTACGATCCAGAAGATGCCATCAATACGCAGACCAGGGGTAGGATGTTGGGGCAACCGTTGAGGTGGGGTTAGGATAGATCTAGGAGGCTGACAACAGAGACGGGTGTTTGATAAGAACATTGTTAAGATCATGGTAGGAATGATGATATGGATATAGAAAGATTTGTATTACTTTATTTCTGTAGTTGGGCTTATTATATACCCTTTATATTTTCGGGTGAAATATTTTTTGATTTGGAAATGAAGAGAAATTCTGGAAAACAGAGATATAGACTAATTATAACTTGGCTCAATATATACAATTTAGTTTTGTAGAAGTTTATAATATATTGTTTAATAAAATACTGAAGAAAACAGCATGTAACAATAATGGGATCCTGCGTAGCTTCGTAAAAAAAGTATTGGAGCTAGAATAAATCGAAGTCAGCATTGATACCATGCTAATCATTGACATTTATTTCCAATACCATTTCCTTAACTGAAGCAATACGTTTTTGAGAAGCCTCTAATACCAATTAATAATAATCACCTAATGAGTCAACATCAATATACCAATACTCACTAGATATTTATTCCAACTAATTATCAAAAGATAAACAGAATGGAATCAGTTTAAGCAGATCACCTGGTAAACAGTGTATTCAGATGGAATATTTTCTTCAACAAAAATTTTAAAAACCACGTCCCTCATTCTTTTTCATCTCACTGACCATTTCTTAAAAATATCCATGAAAGTATGATGAAACATGGAAAATTCCGAGTTGAATATTGTCATGACTATCTTTCAGATCTATATTTCTGTTGAATATTCAACTCTAACATGTCTTCATATTTTGACATTTTTAAAGTCCTGCTATACTCCAAGAACTTTTTATTGGAAAAGGTAATTTGATATTAGGAAATAGATATATATGATTTTTGTTTGTAAATGTGAAGACTAGAAATTTTTTCTACTCTCAAGAGAAATTTCTTCAATAAACTAATCTCTAGCATCATTTATGCGAGAATAGCAAATGAAAGTAACTACACCAAAATGTTCAATATATAAAGAATATTCAGACACATTGTTAAACAGGTATTTATTTTCTTATGCATATTATATTTTTCATCTGTCAAATATTCTTCCTTCTTGGTCAAATCAAAATTTTCAAATCACAAACTTTACTAGGTAGATGCTTTTTTATTCCGTATAATTATCAATCCACTCACTGGAGGTTCTGGCATACTCACAAAGGAGAAGTCTACCTTTCATTTGCAATAACTGAATCTAAAGGATCTGCGCCGATTATCGATTTGAATTTGATTCTAGTCGAAAGCAACGAATAAAAGTTCAAAAGGAAGAGATTATCCTTTGAAGAGTTTTTCACTTCCACACCATCATTGTCATCAACTCTCCTGATACCCCTGTCCACTCTTTTTTAGGAAAATACACTTTCAAAGTACTCACGATTTGACACAATCTTCATTATGGTCCATATGGGAGTACATTCTGACCTTTTTTGAAAGCTTTAATGGTCAATTTTTCACCCTCTTCACATGAACTGTACGTATTCAAGTAGACCACTCCTAAGTTTGTGGTAACTATTTTGACAGCTAAATTCGACAGTTTCAACTCGTAAACTTTTTTTTGCTTCTCTTACATTCTTCCAAAGAATTGTCAGATCATCTGTGAGTTGTCTTTCGTTTGAATCTAGCTTCAATATTTTCTTTTCAAAAAAAATTTGTATTTCTCCTGTTATTATCCTTTTCATCTGATGTGATATATAAACTTTTTTTAGGATACTTATTGGCATCACCATCATTGTATTTTTCGAAGGAATCTGGATAGTAGTTTTTCTGACCTCCCCAGTCCTGCTCAAGTCTTAGCCCTAACGTCTTGTTAGGGCTAAGAGTTGAGCAGGACTGGGGCCAAGAGGGCTAAAAGTGTGAAAGTAATGTAATTTATTATTATTTCTAATAGATTTTCCATATAGTTTTGTCATGCCGTACTTTGTCTTTTTAACTAAGACAAAATCTTTCTCGATCTGAATTACTTTTCTGCCAACTGTCAGATGGAAGTTATCTTATCATTAATTTTCATATATTCTACAGGGTGTTTATTAAACACGCGACAAAAATTCAAGAGACTATTCCTTGGACTATTCTAAGGATATTTCGTTCTTTGATGATTTTTGATAGGGCGCATTGTTTATAAGATACGGAGCAAAAAAAATTTCGACAATAACAATTTATTACCAAACATTACCTACATGTAATATTTCTTAATCTACAAGAGCTATATCGAGAGGGGTTGTCTACAGCATAGTCTGTAGCCTCCCTAACTAACGGATTTTCGTGAGTTTCCGCACTTTCAAAAACTCGCCGATTCCTCGACTGAATGGACTGTCGAATGGAAGGCAGCTGCAAATCTTTGCGGATGGCTTCGTTCCGCACGAACTAAGGAGCATTCACAATCATCCTCATTAGTTTATTTTGCAATACCTCCAGAATGGAGATATTAGATTTGGCCGCTTGTCACCAGACGCCTGAAGCATACATGATGACAGGCTTGAACATCTTGTTATAGATGGTATTATTGTTTTTCAGAATCATTTTTGCTTTTCTATTGATCAGAGGGTACAGACTTGCGGGTTCCAAGTGAGCCTATGGTCTATTAGAAGGCCTAGGTACTTTACCCGCGCTTGCCAGTCAATCTCTCTTTCAGAGATTCTCACTTTTCTGGCCGGAGAAGAAAGCAATCTTCCCATGGTTATCGCCTAAGTCTTGTCCGGGTTCACTCGGATCTTCCAATCGAGGTACCAGCGCTCGAGGTCGTCTAATGCACGTTGCATGTAGACGACGCCGAGCTCTCGACCCATGGAAGACGAAAGAAGAGCCGTGTCGTCGGCGTACAGATATATTTTCACACGTTCGGGACTTGGAAGGTCGCTGGTGTAAAGAGAATACAGCGTCGGAGAGAGCACATCCCCCTGTAGCACTCCAGCGAGGATCTCTCTGTTATCAGACACTACTCTAACCTGAAAAGTTGTGTCTTTCAGGAAAGACCCAATCCACCTGATCAGGCCCCGAGGCAGGTCGAACGCGTTTAATTTGTGCAGAAGGCCTTCATGCCAAACCCGGTCGAAGGCCTTCGAGATGTCAAGTAACACAATATGCCCTTTTTTATTGTTGTTAAGCTCATGGATGGTGTTTTCGACCAGCCTTAGAGCCTGTAACTCAGTGGAGTGTTCTCTCATGAAGCGAAATTGTTCATCAGGCAGAACATTTCGGTCCTCAACTTCTTCTTTGAGCCTTTGGAGACCAACTCTTTCAGCCAGCTTAGCCGCCGACGAGAGTAGACTGATCGGGCGATAATTCTGTGGGAACAGCGGGTTCTGACCCTGTTTTTGGTCAGTGGTGCCTGGGGAAGTGTCTGAGGGCCAACGAACTGTTTATTATGTTCAGCAGGCATTCGAAGCAGTTGTCTGGGAGCCTCTTCAATAACTTTTTAGTTATTGAGTCGACCCCCGGAGCTTTCTTGTCCTTTGCGATCCTGATGTATCCCTTCAGCTCTTCCACAGAAGCTGGACGGATGTCATCATCGTCATCCTCCCTGAGGATTCGGTGAACCCGGTCTTCCAACAGCATGTCGCGGTCGATGTCGTCATCATCGTCAACGTTAAGCTGGAACTGACGTTCCATCGTGTATACATTCTATCGTTTCAGAGTGGTAGGTTCAAAGAAAAAAGCATCATCACATTCTTTAATTTTTGTATAATCTGGACTATCTGGTTTATTTAGGTCAGGGCAAGCTTCACTAAAATACGTATTTATTCGGATCACTATGGTTTGTGAGTCTTTATATTTTTTTGCAAAACTTTCTAAGATATTGTTTTTGTGGTAGTTGGGCTTTGTTATTTTTTATTATTAATGACCAGGTAGCTTTGGTTTTATTTTCGGCTTTCATTATATATTCAGTGTTGAACATTTTTTTCGCAGCTGCACGGACGGCACAATACTTTTTAAAATACTGAGTACTCATCAGCCCTAGCAAGATTTTTATACCCCTTGTCATCCATGAATTGGGCCTAGTTTTATTAAACTTTTTTTTCACAAAGATCAGGTTCATTATTCTACTGAAAATATTCGAAAAACAGCTGTATACTATATTTACATCTGTACTCTGTGTCACACTTTCCCAATTAACTCCAGCGAGATCCTGTTTAAACTGAATAATTTAATTTTTTGAGAATATTCTTTTTTTTTCATCCATTATATTTCATTTGCTTTAATTTTTTTTGTGAAAAGGGTCAATAGTGATCAGATAATACAGTATTTAAAACCATGCTTTTTTTCATAGTCATCAAAATTTACAAAAATGTTATCCAATAGAGTAGATGAAATATTTCTTTCTCTGGTTGGTTCAAAAATAGTTTGTGTTATGTGGTGAGTGAGAAGTGAGTCTAAAAATACCTTAGTTTGTACGATGTCTTCGAGCAAGTTGATATTAAAATCTCCACATAGTATAACCTTAAATGAAGTGAATTTTTCATGAACTAAATCGATTATTTCTTCCATGTTCTCAATGAAAATATCAAATGATCCTAAGCCAGTTCTGTAAAAACATACAATTACAATTTTCAGTTTCCTAATTACTACACTTCCACATTCCAAATAACCTTCAATACTTTTTCTGGCAACACTCTCCGCATCCATATCGTTTGTTGTGTAGACACTGACTCCTCCATGCTACATCATTTTCCGGGAAAAAGCTGATTTCAATTCGTATTCTACAGTTTGTATACTCTCTATTTCGGATTCTATTGGCTCTATTTCAGAGCCAATGCTCTGTTATGCATAAAATTTTTAGCTCTGATGATAGAGAGTCTAGAAATATTTCAACTTCATCAGTTTTGTTCCTCAAACACTGTATATTTTGATGGAGTATGGTGAGGTATCCATCTTCATTGCGATTTTGTTGGCAGCTGTTTTCAGAAATGTTTATATGCTTATTTTTTTGCGGTAATTGCTATTGCCGCAGATTTCTACTGGCGTTTCGTTTGTTGACCTCATATTTTTGTAGACTTCACACTCATGACTCCAAACATTACAAAATAATTAATATTTTAAAAACGGTGAGATAGAGGTATAGAACATGTTCATAAAATATAATTCGGATTTTGTTGTAAAATTCAAAAATGATATAATATATAGGGTGTTCCATTTGAAATTTCCAAGTTGATGTCTATTACATGTAGATGTGGCAACAATGCGATGATGAAAATATTTTCAAACGATAGATCCCAGTCATATACATCGGTAACCAAAATTTGAAACTCTCATCTTTTTTTGTTCTCTAGATACGTCAAATAGACCATCGAATATTGAATACCCAGTATATCTTTCAGTTACTAAAGTAAATAAGTTTTGCCTTGTAC